GTCTTTTGAAAACAAACTTCCAAAGGAAGAAACAGTTAACAAAAAGTTTTCTTTCATAAGTTATGATTTGAGTTTAAGCCATATTGAACCCATTGGGTTTTTGGTAAAAGATTTCATAATACATCATAATGTAAGTAATATGATGACTAATGGGTCAAATAAAGTCGGAACATTTTAAATAAGAAAATAGCTGGAACAGTTTTCAAGAAAGTTTTCCAACTGATGTTTGGTCCCCCACAAGGTGTATATTAACATAAACTTAGGGGAATCACCTCTGGGGTTTAAGTTCCCTCTCTGATTTCATTATTGCAAAATGATTCTTTTCTTTTCACTTTTAAGTCACCTTCTAGGGTGATGGAAGCATAAAAATAACTATAATTTGTGTTTGTCTAATCTCCTTTTAACTCAATAGTTGTTCCATCTTTCTGTTTCCTGGTAGCTGTTTATAAAGTTTTGAAGGGTAATTAGAATCTAACAATTGACAGTCATGGGTTTACTTGGTAACTTAAAGATACAGAATATGTTCCAGGGATGGTAAGAAATTAGATGTGGCAGAAAATATGACTCAACTGGGAGAGTCTCAATTACTGCATATTTCTAAAATCTGAACTTTGAAAATAGTCCATTTATTAAATTCATTGAGGACTTATAAACCATTAAAACTCTTTTTTAGTAAGTTTTTTATTGTGAAAATACTGTACAGAGGGATTACATGAGAAAGGTAATGTGTACATTTCTTATCAAGCATTGTTGCCTCCTCCTTTGTTTTTTTCCCTACCATCCCTTCCCTCCCACCTCCTCAACTACACTCCCCTCCCCCTGCCCCGCCTCAATTGTAAAGTTCATTTTTCAACACAGTGTCTTATAGATCTCATTGTTGCAGTGGGTCAACCTGTATCCCTATTTAAACATTTTATTTTTCCCTTCCCCTTTCCAAATTATAGCAACATCAAATACAGTGAAAACAGGGGTTATACCGTGGGGGAGGGACTTACAAAGCAACAAAAAATCACATGGTACCTTATAAATAAGTTAGAAACAATAGCAAGAAAGGAAAAAAAAAAACACTTGGGTCCTCATCTTTGGGTTCATTTCGCTTAATGTCACCTTATCTGGACCTTTTCTGCTTGTCCCAGCCATATACTAGTTATTAAAAATACGGGAAACCATGGGAACTATATTTCTTTGGGCCTGGCTTACTTCACATAACAGATACTGGAGGGGATGTGGCCAGAAGGGAACTCTACTGCATTGTTGGTGGGCGTGTAAACTTGTTCAACCACTTTGGAAAGTAGTATGAAGGTTCCTCAAGACTCCACTTAGAGCTCTCCTATGACCTGTAATCCCACTTTTGGGCATTTACCCAAATGATCAAAAACAAGACCATACTAAAGCTACCAGCACAACTATGTTTATTGCAGCATTATTTACCATGGAACCAACCCAGATGCCCCTCAGTAGATGAATGGATCAAGAAAATGTGGTATATATACACAATGGAATTCTATGCCTCCATCAGAAAGAATGACATTGCCCCGTTAGGAAATGGAAAAACTTGGAAAAAATAAAACTCTTATATACAAGAGTCTGACAATGGGGGGGGGGGGGGGGAATGGAAGGGGTTGGGGGGGGGGGGGGAAGGAGAGGATTGGGATGGGGGGGAGGGGGGAGGCTGGGAAGGGATGGGAAGGGTAAACAAAGGAGGAGGCTGCAATGCTTGGTAAGAAATGTACGCATTATCCTGCCCATGCAATTGTAACCCCTCTGTACAGTTTGTTCACAAATAAAATAAAATAAAATTAAAAAAATAAATAAAGAAGAAAAAAAAAAAGAATAAAAAAAAAAAGAGTCTGACAATAATTGGAATGAAACCCACATTAATAATTGATGCTTGAGTTTTTTTCCAGTGTGTTTTTAGTTGTTGTAAAGCATTATTCTATATAATTTTCATTGTGTCTATGGAAAAAAATCATAGTCTATTTTTTAAATATTTTTATTTTAATGACAGTTACTGTGTTTCATCAACTTGTTAAACTATGATGGTCCAAAAATGTAAACTGCCCGATTTTTATTTTCTGTGTTTAAAAATGCCAAACTTAGCCAGGCACTGGTGGTTCCTACCAGTGATGCTACCTATTCAGGAAGCTGAGTTCTGAGGCTCAAGAAACAAAGCCAGCCTAAGAAGGACAGTCCTCAACTCTTACCTCCAATTAACCACCAAAAAGCCAGAAATGGAGGTGCTGCTCAAGTGGTAGAGTGCTAACCTTAAGCTAGAAAGCTCAGGGACAGAGCCAGCCCCTGAGTTCAAGTCCCCAAGCCCTGAGTTCAAGCCCCATGACTGGCACAAAAAGGGGAGGGCAAACTTTTGTTGCACTTTTTTTTGTTGTTTCTAAGAATAATTTCCTGTACTATGAGACTGAAAAATATTCAAATAAAAGGTCTAATTTTTTTTGGGGGGGTGGGTCGGTCATGGTGCTTGAACTCTGGGCTTGGGCGCTGTCCCTCAGCTCTTCAGCTCAAGGTGAGTGTTCTACTGTTTGAGCCACAGCACCACTTTGGTTTTCTGGGGGTTTATTGGAGGTAAGAGTCTCACAGACTTTCCCTGCACGGGCTGGCTTTGAACCGCAATCCTCAGATCTCAGCCTCCTAAGTAGCTAAAGCTCTGATTTTTTTTACTAAAAAAAAAGAGTGCCTAGCTAGTTCAAGGATGGAAAGTCTATTGATACTGGGTACTAAAAGTGTCAGTACAAATTGGGTACCAGTGGCTCACAGATATAATCCTAGCTAATCAGTAGGCTGAGGTGTGGGAGTTAAGGCTTAAGAACAAAAGACTCTCATCTCCAATTAAGCAACAGTAATCTGGAAGTAGAGATTTGGCTTAAGTGTGACCAAAAAGTGTGTCACCAGTATGACCAAAAATTCCCAGCAAATTATATATATATATATATATATATATATAAACATATAATAAATATATAACATGTAATAATTATTTAATGTTTAGTAGCCTTGCAAAATTATTGATGTCAGATGTGACAGTGATTATACATTTTAGTGTCATTTATATACCAGCAAAGAATATATGTGTGTGTGTATTAGCATTAGAGCTTGAACTCAGGGCCTTAGCACTCTCAGCTTTTGTGCTCAAGGCTAGAACTTTTAATTTGTGGACTTTCTTACTCTGGCACGCGATTCCAGTTCTTGGTAGACCTGATATTTTAGAAAGGAATACCTAGTATTACAATATTGCCTTGTATTTCAACTCTGATTTTCCACTTTCCAGCCCCCAAGGAGAGACTAACCTGTGAGCTAATTTCTTTTTTTTTTAATTGTGAAAATACTGTACAGAGGATTTACAATTACATGGGCAAGATAATGAGTACATTTCCTATAAGCATTGTAGCCTCCTTCTTTGTTTCCCCTTCCCATCCTCCCCCCGCCCCCCAATCCTCTCGACCTCCCCCTCCCCCCCACCAAAGTTGTAAAGTTCATTTTCGACATAACAACTTGTACATCTCAGTGGAGGGAAGGGGGAAAACAAATCATTTAAATAGGATACATGTGAACTAATTTCTTACAGAGAATGTAATATCTTGAGGATTAGAAGTTAGACACAGAAAGAGTTCATTAAGTACATGAGCAAACTTGGTGGTATCATATAAATTGGTTGGGGGAAGTAGGTTCTGATGAGGTAGGCAATGGCTGCAGATAAATACAAGACCTTGTAATAGCTGAACAATATCCAAAACTTAGAAGAGGAGAAAACAAGGAGTGGCTGGAATATAGGAGAAAAGGAAATGGGATTCATGGACGTAAAATTGACAAAACATATTCATGTTTGTATTGGACAGGGAAAAAGGTAATTCAGTGAGTCAAAGTCAGATTGCTAACATGAGCATGTGGTCCATAAAAGAACCATTAACTAAGAGAGGGAGAAACAGAATATATAAAAGGAGTTAATGGATTGTTTTGGATGAATGGATTTCATAATTCCATAGGAGTTCAGCAGAAAGGTCGACAGACTTTGTATTCATTTTTCCTTTTTCAGTATTAAATATATGTTTAGTTGCAGGGAACTAATGGTGCTGTGTCTCAGGCTTGTAATCCTAGCTACTCAGGAGGCTTAGGTCTGAGGATAGAGGTTCAAAGCCAACCTTATCCAAAAAGTCCATAAGTCTTTTATCTCCAATGAAATGAATATTTGTTAGGTTATATTAAGCACCAACTTTTATTGGACATGTAGGTATGGGATACACTCTGTGTTCTAGGTACTAGTTATAAAAATGTATGACATGCCTAGCCTTTATGACACTTGTAGTCTAATATCTTATAGGTAACGTTTACAAAATGATGACATAAAATGAAATATAAAAATTAAAACAGAAATAATGTCAGTTTAAAGAACAATAATAACAACCTCTGATACATGACACATTAAAAATAAAACTGTAGGTTTTAATAATTTTCTGTTAAATTGAATGAGATGTTTCTACTCTGTCAATGCAGAATGAAGGCAAAAGTTGACAAAGGAGGTTAGCAGCAGGTCACAAGGTAGAAGCAAACATTCTGTGCATAAACTTGACTAGAGAATAATAAGGGAGTATACTTCAGTCAGATGGATCAAGGTTAATGAATACCTGTATTTTTTTCAAAAATTGTTCTATCCAGTAATAGAAGTCCTTTCCCCCCTCCCCCATTGGAGAGAATGCCAGTTTTGGGTAAGTAACAGTAAAAACTGTAATGTCTGCTTCATTTTGCCTAAGGTGTGAGGGCAGAAGCAAAAGTGGAAATGATGGCCTTGATATCTGTGTGCAGCCCTCCATGTATTAGGAACAATCACAGTGAATAGCAATAATGTAGCCTGATGGATCCAAAGAGAACGTTTCTTCAAGTAACTACATGGAAAGAATAGTTAGTAAAAGAAATACAACATTCTGGCATCAGAATGCATATCTTAAAAGAACACTCGGGTAATTTTCCTGCCTTTTTTGTTTTTATAGCTGACATCAACTTGGATATATCAAAGCCTTTGAAAGCAAACCTAAGTTTTACCAAATTGGATCAGATAAATCAGTTTTTGAAGAAGATAAGAAATGCACACAGCTTTGCACCTAGTGAAGAAACCTCAATTGTGTCAGATACTACATTGAACAAAGAGGAGCATCCAGTATCCAAATGTTACCGTGGAAAATTGTCTACACCTAAAATTCATGGTTATGGAATAGAGAAGATTTCATTTCAAGAAAACATGTGGAATACTATTTCCTGCTTTCAAAAAATTTCTGTCCACACTACTCAGATTGTGGTCTCTATGGAAACTGTCCCCCATGCTGATAAACCATGTCTGTTAGCATCCCTATCCAACCTCAGTGGAAGCCTTAATGTCAGAGCAGCGCAAAAAGCGCCTGGTAAGTTACAGATAAGGAAGGGAAGGGGTAGGGCTGAGGATAGAGGAGAAAGACAAAGCAATATTTATTTTTCAGATGTTGCTAAACATCTGAAAAATGTATTATTTTGAAGATTTATGTTAAAGAGAAATGAAAGGTTTTAAAAGCCATTAGAGATGGGGGTGTTTCTGGTTTGTGACCTTATTTATGGCACAGATAGTTTTGTAACAAGTCCTTTGAGCCTGTTTTTTCAGTGCCCTTCTAAAATGCTTCTATCCACCCCTTGAGGCATATTCCTACCAGCGTCTTGATAACTTTCAGTTCCTAACTTCTTTTTATCTCAAGGGGCTATTGTGGAACAAAGGTGATTCAGGGCTTTTGTTTGTTTGTTTTTTGTCAGTCATGGGGCTTGGACTCAGCCTGGATGCAGTCCCTGAGCTCTTAAGCTCAAGGTGAACGCTTTACCACTTGAGCCACAACTACACTTTTGTTTCAGGTTTCTGTGACTCATTAGAACAGTAATTTTCAAAGTGAGATCTCAGTATCCACAGCAGTTTCACCTGGGACTTCACTGGTAATATGTATTCTTATACCCCACCCCAGCTGAAAGAGTCAGACTCTGGGCATAGAGCCCAGCAGTGTGTATTTCAGTAAGCCCTACAGGTGATTCTGATACACTGCATTAAATAACTGGTAACAATTTATTTAAAAAAGAAAAATTGCTGGGGTGGCAGATATGCTATATCAAGTGTAACAGAAGCCAAAGTTCAACTCTGCAAGAATGCCATTGAAGCATTTTATCAGTTAGTAACACCTGGCAAGGAAAAAAAACTGTGCTTCTGTACCTAGCCCAGAAAAGAGGCCTAGCCAGCTGCAACTGAATGTCATTGATGGGTGGAAAGGTTAGAAGCTAACTGGTAATGACATCTACATTTTTCTCTTCTGGTACTCATAAGTTGTTAGGCACTTCTTTTACACTGTCAGAAAGGGTGGGCATAAGGAATGGGAGGATGGGGCAGAAAAGGGCAACACAGGTGGCAAATAAAAGTTTTCAATCAGGAAGTGGCTCTGTGGCTCAAGCGGTAGAGCACTCACCTTGAGCTGAAGAGCTAAGGGATAGCGCCCAAGCCCAGACTTCAAGCCCCACAACCGACAAAAAATAAATAATTAAAAATAAATAAATAAAAGTTTTCAATCATAGCAACTGCTACTGTAAAAGTGACAGGAAAATGCCAGAAATTTTGCTCTAAAAATAAAAGTGGTAAAAGCAAACCATCTTTTCCACTTTAGTTTGTACAGGGAAATACATGAAGGAAAAGAGGTAGTGCAGGGGATAAAACGCTAAAATTATGTGCAGTTTAGTTGCTTACCAACAAGTAAATAAGGGGCAGCTGGAGTCTATATAATTTCATTTCATAAAGTCAATTTGGGTACAGTAGTTTAAGAGATAAAAGAAAATGCTTTATAGTTGAGAAGTATTCATTTTAAGCCAAGCATAGATGATTTATTTCTTTCTCACCAGAAATATTTGTGACCAAGCCAGCTAAAAAGCTCTGTAGTTTTTTATCGTCTTTAAAGTTTGAACTGAAAAATATAAGGTTCCTGGGACCTGAAAAACATTAAATACCAAAATACACTGCAGAAATACACTGCCGAATCTACTAAATATCCAGGAATAAACTGCAGCTTAGGCAGCATTGAGCTGGCTTCTATGCCTTTTCCTTGTACCCTAATTAGAGCATAGAGAGTGCCCTAAGTAGAACTCAAAGTGGAAGAACTTAAGCAAACTATATTCAAAGTCCTTTTCTTTTATCCTCGTCACTTTAAAATTTATTTTCTACTCATATTTTATAAACTTCTATTGGTGACTACCCTTGCTAAATGTTTTCATCTAAAATATAATTTAAAATCTTTCTCTGGCATTGAGCCAGACAAACTTTTTAGATTCCTTCTATTCGTTTTTTGTAACTTTTCTTCATACTAGAAAGACTACATGCCCTTTTTTTTCTTATACAGTTATGTTTTAGGTCTAGTTAAACACAAAAATAAAAAACTATAGCTTTGACTAAGACATACTTGGTATAACCCTTCTAAGAAGTATTCAGCAGACATTCTAAAAAGTTTGTATTGCATTAAATAAAAATTGAAGTCAGCCATTTAATAGGAAAAATTTCATTATGAGACCATTACAAATACCAGATATTTTTCTACATTTCCACTTTATGTGACAGCATGCCCAAAACATCTTAGAAGATAAAATTAGCAAAGTAGTTACATAATTAAGTCAAATAGGATTGTACCAAGTTCTAGTTATTACTGAACACTGGTTTCTAGGACAATTACGGTAAGAGATTATTATGTAGCTTTGTGTTCATATGCATCTGTGTGCGTATGCTAGTCCTGGGGCTTGAACTCAAAGCCTGGGCACAATCCCTGAGCTTTTTTGTTCAAAGTTAATACTCTTATCACTTGAGCCACAGCTCCACTTCCAGTTTTGTGGTGGTTAATTTGAGATAAAAGTCTCAGGCTTTCCTGCCCAGGATGGCTTCAAACCCTCAGCCTCCTGAGTAGCTAGGATTACAGGTCTGAGCCACTGGTACTGGCTTACATAGCTTTTAAACTATTTTTAAATAAAAATGAATGTAAACTTCAGACATTAATTTTCATTATGTAGTTAAGTATCTTAAAATTACATACTTTACAGGTTGTATAAAACATAGGCGGTTGTATATGTATTCAGGTATAGGTACAGTTTTGATAAGTGATTTTAAAATATCCAACACCAGTCCACATACACAAAACCCTTTTACCAGTAGTCATATTTCCTTTTGTAGTTTTCAAATAACATCATTCTGCATTCAACCAAATTTTTATAGTACGTCTTTGAGCTCGATGCGGTTAATGTCAGATTTTTATAGGCTGAATCTAATACAGAAATACTTAACTGTGTCTTTGATTTTACAGTTTATATAACTATTGTGGCCATCTGCAACAGCTGCACTTTTCAAATTATTTGCTGGACCAAATTGAGCACAGTGACAAAAGTAGTCATCTCAGATGTACTATTAAACAGAGAAAGAAAAGGGAGCATTGCTTTGGTACAGTATAGCCATCTGCTATACAGATGTTATTGTATAGAATGACTTAAGATAAAATAATTGTAGAAAAATTTTCATTAAAACCTCAACAATTTGCACTTGTTTATTCAAATCTGCATAGCTCCCCAATGAGACAACACAGTTGGGGTTTCTTTGGTTCTCACTCACTTTCTCTTTGATCCTTTTTGATGTGCTGACTTTAATAAACATACTCAAAAACACTGTGCAAAAAACATCATGGAAAAAACTACAAAGGAACAATTATAGCAGCAGAAACTACTCTAATCCCTAACTTACGCAAGCTATTTTTAGTGAAATATTTTTTTAACACTCTTTATGTGACAATGTTATATAAACAGGGAAAAATGGTCCTTTCCAGATGAATGTTAATTTAGGGGCTGAAATAGATTTGTAATGCTAGAGGAATCCTATGTGCTAAGTAATATTTAGAGAAACTCCACTGGGACTGTGTTACAGGCATGTTCTCTCACTTGTCAGAGGTACAAAAAAATACTGTGAGCTTGCCTAAGGATTATATTTTTTATCATCTAAACTTTCATAAGCTTATGGAAATTTAAGAAATGTAAGAAAGGGAATAACAAAGTAATGAACAAGAACATTAATGTTTTTCTCTAAACGTTTTCAATACATTTAAATAATCTGAAATGTTTTCATGTTTATTAACTAATATTTTTGTATATATGTGCCAGTCCTGAGGCTTGAACTCAGCCTGGGTAGGGCTCCTGAGCTGCTTTTTCTCAAGGCTAACACTACCACCTGAGCCACAACTCTATTTCCAGCTTTTTGGTAGTTTATTGGAGCTAAGAGTCTCACGGACTTTCCTGCCTATCAAACTGAAATCCTCAGATCTTAGCCTTCTGAGTAGCTAGGATTATAAGCAAGAGTCACAGCACCCAACTTATTAATTTTTTAAACTAAATATTTACAAATTATTTACTGAAATTGTTAAAAGAATACCGGATTCCATAATGTGGAACAAAATGAAATAGTTAAATGTTTTCCACGAACAAAAAAAATCCTCCAGTTCTTCTAAGCTTCCTGTATTATTTTGCGACCCTACACTGAACATTTCAAGGGACTTGATTCTTTTTTTTTTAACTCCACTCTGCCGATGCTTATGTAGCAGTGACTTACAATAACTGAACTCATATTTCTGCTAGAATACTTACGTTTTCCCATGTGTCTGAGTAAAATGGCCCTAAAGTTCTGATTTTAGTAGATGTAATGCTCATATCCTTAAATTAACATATATAGTATTGCATTAAATCCTGTGAGTGAATTTTCAATAACAAAATGAATCTCATCTAGAAATTGTCTTATATTTTGAAATACTTTAAAGTAGATGATATTCTTTTTCTATCCATTAACTCCATCATCTCATTCTACCAAATCTCTTTTTTTATGATTTGGTTCTGAGACTTAAACTCAAGACCTAGGCATGATCCCTGAGATGTTTTGCTCAAAGTTAGTGCTCTACCACTTGAGCCACAGCTCCACTTCTGGCATTTTGGTGGTCATTTAGAGATGAGTCTTGTGGACTTTTGTTCCCAGGCTGGCTTTGAACCATGGTTCTTAGATCTCTGCCTTCTGAGTAGAATTACAAGCATGAGCCATCAATGATATCCACAATGTAATTTGGGGAGGGGAGTATAATTTGAAGTATTATTGTGTAGAAACCCTAAGTATATAATTATAAATTCTGAGTTTGTGGCACATCTCTTTCCACAGGCAGGGTAGGAAGTGAACTAAATAGCTCTTCATCAGAGTAAATTATGGTTCTGTTAGGAAAAGCTCCTTATATTTCAGCAAACAAGAGTATGAAATGGCTGAGCTGAAGCTGCTTTGCTCTTCCTCTGGGATACTTACATTGGCAACTTCCACCTCAACAGGGAAGAGGGAATT